CTCCAAAAGAGCCTGGAAGATACTAAGTCGACTCTGCAACAATCCCTCTCGGCGCAAGAGGCTTTATCTGGTGAGAAAGCGGCGTTGGAGGCAAAATCGTGAAGGCAAAATCATGAAGGAGCACGAGGAAGGGTTTTGGCACGCCGTTCGGCAAGCCAATCATTTCGGCACTTTTCCCCTGGACTTCTCTTTCGAGCTGAGTAAGGACTTCTTTCAGGGGGAGTTTATGGATTTTGCTAATGCGCCGGATGATATGGAGCCGGATGACGTGGCGCCGCCTCGGTCAGCCCCCGTGGAGGATCCGGGGACAACCATGAATGAAGATGAGGAGACCGAGGAGACCACCCACGCAGATTGAAGGGTGTTGGTATTTTGTTTTTTGATTATACATCTGTTTTGTTAATGGTGTATAGATATAGGGTATACTTTTGTTTTTTTTTATTATTGTTGACCGTTTGGGCCATAGAACCATTGTACCCTTCGGCCGTTATAGCTGCTTTGGCCAAAGAGCCTTTAATGAATTTCGTTTGTTTCTTATTTGGATATTACCTTCTTCCTTGCTATGTGGTTATGTATCGGATTTTGTTTGAATTTTGCTTGAAGTTCTTTAAATAATCGAACCGAGTTCTCATCCTTGGCCGAACAAGGGTGTTCGGGAGGGATTGGTTTTCAACCTTGGCCGAGCGAGGGTGCTCGAGAGGGAATGGTATATTCTTCCTTGGGCGAGTATTAATACTCGGGAGGGAACAAAGTCTTCATCCTTGGCCGAGTGAGAGTGCTCGGGGGGGGAAAGCATTTTCATCTTTGACCGAGTGGCTATACTCGGGAAGGGATTGCTTGTACAACCTTGGCCGAGATGGTACTCGGGAGGGGAAGCATTTTCGTCCTTGACCGAGGTGGTACTCGGGAGGGAATTGCTACATCGACCTTGGCCGAGGTGGTACTCGGGAGGGAAGTGTTTTTCAACCTTGTCCGAGTGGGAGTGCTCGGGAGGGAAAGCATTTTCGTCCTTGACCGAGGTGGTACTCGGGAGGGAATTGCTACTTCGACCTTGGCCGAGGTGGTACTCGGGAGGGAAGTGTTTTTCAACCTTGTCCGAGTGGGAGTGCTCGGGAGGGAAAGCATTTTCGTCCTTGACCGAGGTGGTACTCGGGAGGGAATTGCTACTTCGACCTTGGCCGAGGTGGTACTCGGGAGGGAAGTGTTTTTCAACCTTGTCCGAGTGGGAGTGCTCGGGAGGGAAAGCATTTTCGTCCTTGACCGAGGTGGTACTCGGGAGGGAATTGCTACTTCGACCTTGGCCGAGGTGGTACTCGGGAGGGAAGTGTTTTTCAACCTTGATCGAGCGAGATTGCTCGGGGGGATTTCGTGATTTTAACTTGTGACTAAACTGGGCAAGTGAAAGTTTTCTCAAAAAGGAGCTTGTTTCATTGATATGGTGCCTCGTTAAAAACCTTTTCTCAGGAAAACCTCTTTTCACATTTTTCTAAGAGGAGAAAACCCGGAAGAGGAAAAGGGTACACCAAAACAAAATTACATGGTATGTTAGCTAAAGTAATGTTTCAAGTGTGTTGCATTCCAAGTGCGGGGTATAATCTTTCCATTGAGTTCTTCTAGTTTATAAGCCTCGTTCTGTAGGTCGTGCCTTATCCGATACGGCCCATCCCAATTGGGTGCTAACTTCCCCTGAGATTTATCTTTTCGTGCTTCCCCTGTGACTCACCATACTAAGTCCCCTGCGTGAAACTGACGAGGTTTTACCTTCGTTCTGATCTTCCTAGCTGCCCTGGTTCGGCAAGCTTCCATATTGATCAGCGACTCGCGTGTTTCATCAACTAGGTCCAGCTCTATGTTGAGAGCTTCCCTGTTGGTATCATCTTCAAATTGTTGTCGTCGAAGTGAAGGTTCCCCGACTTCTACCGGAATCATGGCGTCGGTACCATAAGTCAACCGAAATGGGGTCTCTCTGGTAGAACTTTGGGGAGTACAGCGATATGCCCATAGAATCTCTGGTAGGTGATCCGGCCATGAGCCCTTGGCTTGCCCGAGTCGTCGCTTCAATTCTTTGAGGATAACTTTGTTTGCAACTTCGGCCTGTCCGTTGGACTGGGGATGCTCAACTGAAGTCATTTTGTGTTTGATGCCTAACTCTAAAAGGAAGTCATTGAAGCGCCGGTCGGTGAACTGTAAATCGTTGTCAGTGATCAAAGCGTACGGGATGTCAAAGCGTGTGACCACGTTTTTCCAAAAGAACTTCTGGACGTTGTTGGTCGTTATGGTGGCCGTCGCTTCTGCCTCAATCCATTTAGTGAAGTGGTCTATCGCTACGATGAGAAACTTCACTTGTCCTTTGGCCGGTGGGAAGGGTCCCAATATATTCATGCCCCAAATGGAGAAAGGCCAGGGGGTGGAGATAGAATGCAACTCTTCTGGAGGTTGATGTGTTAACGGACCGAATTGTTGGCACGGTTGGCACTGCCGAACGAATTCGGCGCAATCAGTGGCTAGGGTCGGCCAATAGTATCCTGCACGGATGATTTTGGTTGCGAGGGTTCGGCTTCCCGAGTGAGTTCCACACACGCCTTCATGGACTTCTCGGAGAACGTAGTGTGCTTGTTCGGGAGTGAGACATTTCAGCAGTGGTGTCGACAATCCTCGCTTATACAATTCCCCGGCAATCAAGGTGTATCGTGCTGCCTTCACTCTCAATTTTTTAGCTTCGAGAGGATCCTCGGGTAATTCTCCAGTTTGAAGGTGATGTGTTATGGCATCCATCCAGCAGTGGTTTCCTGGTTCAACCTGCAGACACTCAACTTCATTAACGCTCGGGCTCGGAAGCTCTTGTTGTATCATACTTCGCAAATGGCTGGTTTTTTTGGTGCTAGCCAGTTTGGCTAGCTGGTCGGCTCTGGTATTGTGTTCCCGGGGAGTGTATGTGACTCGGACATCCTCGAAATTGTTTTTTAGTCTCTGGAAGGCATGGAAGTACAAAAGCAACGTCGGTTCTTTAACCTGGAAAGTGTCGTTGACTTGCCCTGTCACCACTTGCGAGTCGCTGAAGCACTGGATTGTTGCAATGCCCAAATCGTTCACCAGTCTCAATCCTGCCAGGAGGGCCTCGTATTCTGCCTAGTTGTTAGACGTTTTGAAGCTGAACCGTAGTGACTATTTGATCACTAATTTGCCTGGGCCTTCCAAGATAATGTCGACGCCGCTACCCTGCTGGTTTGACGACCCGTCCACATGCAGGGTCCACAAGTTGGATTCGGGAAACGCTTGTGGGGTGAATTCGTTTACAAAACGGCCATGCTTTGCGCTTTGATTGGTCCTCTTGGTTCAAAACGAATGTCGAACTGCGACAGCTCAATGGACCATGCGACCATTCGTCCTGCCAATTCCGGCTTGCGCAAGACTTTAGTTATGGGGCTATCTGTTCGGACGAGCACCCAGTGACTTTGGAAGTAGTGTCAGAGGCGTCTAGCGGTGTGAACAAGAGCTAAGACCGTCTTCTCGAGGTGCTGATATCTCGTCTCGGCGTCTTGTAGCACTCGGCTAACGAAATATACCGGCATTTGTTCTGTTTTTTCTTGCACCAAGACAGAGCTGATGGCTTTGTCCGAGACCGATATGTATACGATCATGTCCAACCGAGGGTTTGGTTTGGTCAGCAATGGTGGAGTTGCTAGTGTTTTCTTCAGGTCTTGAAAAGCCGACTCGCATTCCTCGTTGCACTGAAACTTGGTAGCCTTTTTTAGTAGGGACATTATGGGCTTTGACTTCTCGGCCATGCAGGGGAGAAAACGAGCCAAGGAAGCGATGCGTCCGGCCAGCCTTTGCACTTCTTTTATGTTGCGAGGGCTTTTCATGTTGATAATAGCTTGACACTTGTCGGGGTTGGCCTCTATACCTCTTTTTGACAACATGAATCCCAAAAACTTTCCGCCAGCTACCCCAAATGTGCATTTTGCCGGATTTAATCGCATATGGTGACGCCTTACTTCCTCAAATATCGTGACGAGGTCTTTTAGGTGATCGCCGACTGAAGTGGACTTGATCACCATATCATCCACGTATACTTCTAAACATGTCCCAATCTGCCGACGGAAAATCTTGTCCATGAGGCGCTGGTAAGTCGCTCCTGCGTTTCTCAAACCGAACGGCATTACCCTGTAACAAAAGTTGGCCGAATCGATGATGAATTCAGTTTTTGCTTCGTCCGGGGGGTACATGGGTATCTGATTATACCCTGAGTAGGCATCCAAGAAGCTTAACATGTGATGACCGACTGCTCCATCAACCAACGCGTCAATGTGCGGAAGGGGGTAGTCATCCTTTGGGCATGCTTTGTTGAGATCCGTGTAGTCGGTGCACATTCGCCACTTGTCATTCGCCTTCTTGACCATCACTACGTTAGCTAGCCAGGTTGAATACTTGACTTCCCTAATGAATCCTGCATGTAGCAGTTTAGTCGTTTCTTCTTTTACTGCTTGGGATCTTTCTCCCCCCCATTTTCCTCTTTTTCTGCGCGATCGGCTTGGCATCTCGGCAAACCGAGAGTCGGTGGCAGTGGAAGCTAGGTTCGATGCCTGGCATATCGGCTGCTGTCCAGGCGAACAAATCTGAATACCTCAGTAAGACTCGCTTAATGTCCTCCGCGTCATCATCTGTCAATTGGAAACTTAGGTATGTGACTTGATCCTCCATCTTCCCGAGCTGGAACGGGATTGTTGTTTCCGTCGGCTCGACCCTATGTTCGTCCTTTATTCTGGGATCAAGTTCTAAGCCCCCCATCTTGTATTGACCAATATCTCCAATGACGTTGACGTCTCGGCGTCGGGTCGTCTTCGGAGTCGGTTGTACCTTCAGACTGGCCAGGTAACATTCGCGGGCTGTCTTTTGATCGGCATGCAGTGTAATGATCTTGCCTTCTTCAGACGAAAATTTCATTGCCAAGTGGGGGGTAGAGACGATGGCTCTCAGCCTGTTCAGGGAGGGTCGACCTAAGAGGATATTGACGTGTTAGCACTCACCACAACGTACCGTATTTTTATCCTTCGTCTCTGCTGGTCGTCTCCAAAATAGGTGTACAGATCTATTTTTCCCCTTGTGTCCAGACGTTCACCTGAGAATCCCACCAAAGGTTCATCGTAAGGTGTCAATTCCTGTTCGGGGATGCCGAGCTGCTCGAAAGTCTTCCAGTATAAGATGTCAGCCGAGCTTCCCTGATCGACAAGAGTTTTTCTTACAATACAGTTGTTAATTTCCACACTGATGACCATGGGGTCATCTTGCACTGGATCGACGCCTTGAAAATATTGATCGGTGAATGTGATAGGGGGCATACGAATTGCAGTTGCCCGTCCTATGGAGTTAACCGATTTGATCGCCCTCAGGTGTCTTTTTCGGGCCGACGAAGAACTCCCTCCTCCTGCGAAGCCTCCCGCAATGGTGTTTATCACTCGCCTGGGTTGGTTTCGGTCTCGCTGTTGACTACTTCTTTCTTGAGACCTGCTGCGTTCACGAGATCGATTCCTGTGGGGTGCTCGATCTCGATTCTCCTTTCGGCCCTCCTCCCTGCCAGTACGATAATTATTTCTCCTGTTATCTCCTCGAACGAAATTTTGGAGATGTCCGGCTTTAACGAGATCCTCAATACGATCCCGAAGGGCAGAGCACTCTTCAGTAGTGTGTCCTCTATTACGGTGGAATTGACACGCCTTGGATGTGTCGGCGTGAGGCGGGGTCATAGTTCTTCGAGGAACAGCTAGTACTTCCGTGGCTAACGCCTGCTCCAACACCTTGGCCCTGCTAGTGTTAAGCGGCATGTATTGCATGTACCTTGGACCTCTGTTATTCTTCTCTCGATCGGTGGTGTCTCGGGGACGAGGTCTGGGGAGCTCCTTGTCACTTTCTTTTTTGGCGAGAAACAAGTCAGGTCGGTTTTGACTTCTAAATTCAGCCAATTCCTCCATCTGCATGTATTTCGTGGCTCTTTGTCTCAGGTCGTCAAGGTCTCGAGGTGCTTTTTTGCACAAGCTATTGACGAATGGCCCAGGTCGTAACGTCGTGGTTAAGTGATGCATGGCAACGGTTGGGTCCAAATCGCGAATAGATAGTGTCATTTTTCCAAACCTCTCCATGAAAGTTCTAAGAGGTTCTTTCTTCTCTTGGCGAATGTTGACCAACGCGATCGAGGTGAGTTGGTGCGGACGGCTTGTAGCGAATTGTATCGCGAACCGGGATGATAAGGTTGTGAAGGAATCAATCGATCCAGGTGGGAGTCTTGTGAACCAGTTTAACGCCGATCCTTTTAGTGAAGTGGGGAAAACTTTGCACATGACAGCATCGTCGTCAGTGTACAGGCCGACCTGCGTGACGAACGCGTCTAGATGTTCTTCT